TTGCTTTTGAGAAGGCAGGGAGTGCGAATGTGAGATTGTAATGTCACACTGTGATGGGAAGGAATATTTTAAAATATTAAATATGAACCAGGCATAGTGGTGCACACCTGTATTTCAGCATTCTCAGAGGCACAGGCAGAAGGACTGAAATTTTGAGCAATTTAATGACTTAGTGAGACTCCTGTCTCAAGACAGAAAAAAAGTAAAGTAGCCTGCATGGTGGCACACACCTGAGGCAGGAAGATCACAATGAGTTCAAAGCCAGCCTGGGCTCCATAGTGAGTTAAAAGGCCAGCCTTGACTACATATTGAGACCCTGGTCTCAACAAAACAAAAACATTTTTTAAAAAAGGGCTGGGGGTATAGCTCAGAATAAGGTTCCTGGGTTCAGTACTCAGTACCCTCCCCGCAAAAAAGAAAAATGTGTAGAAAAATGTATGTGTATGAATATTGGGCTGCTAGATGGCAAATAATGGCAGAACCTGATCATTGTCCTCTAGAATCCATTCTTGTGTCCCTTAGGACTAACAGAATTTTAGTAGGACCTAAATTTCCCATCCTGTTCTGCAGATCAGTACAGCGACGTGACTAGGTTCTGGCCAATGGGATGTAAGAGGAAGTATGGGCTTCCCTGAATCATCCTCAAGAGACACTTGACATACTCCCCTTCCTCTCCATTTGTGCATTCTTTGCTTATAACATAGATGTGCTGGGCTGGGTCCTATGATTTCATGCAAAAGAGCCATGTACCAGCTTGAATTACCACTACAATTTTACTCAGGAGAGGAGTAAACTTTGACCTTGTTTAAGTCATTGTTGCTTTGGGTCTCTGTCATTGGCAATGAACCTAAACCTCATGCTATCTTTTGTTTTGGCTTGTCCAGCCCCAACTTCCCATTCCTGAGAGACTTCCTCTATCCAGTTCCTTGTGGTTCTGTGTGTCACTGAGCCTCTTTTTTCCCCAGCAGCTGGACAGATGACCAGACCAGACTTCCCTCTCCCCATTAACAGGTTGAAATCCTGGGTGAGGGGCACAGGAACACCAGACAGATGGGTCTAAGTTACTGTGATGTATGCAAAATAATATTTTTTTTCAGTACTGGGGATTTAACCCAGGGCTTTTGCACTGAGCTATATATATCCCCAGCCCTTTTAATTCTGAGACAGAGTCTTGCTAACTCACTGAGTTTCCCAAACTGTACTCAGACTTGCAATCCTCCTGCATTAGCCTCCCAGAGTACTAGGACTACAGGTGTGTGCCACTATTCCTGGCCTTGTTTTCTTCTTTTTTCCTTCCTTTTTTTTTTAAATAAGGTTTTATTATGTGGTCGAAGCTATTCTTGAACTTGATATGTAGCCTAGACTGTTCTCTTGATTCTCCTGCCTTAGCATCCCACAAAATCCTTAAGGGCCCCAGAAACAACATACTACAGGCTAATTTATAAATAACAGAAATTTATCTCGCCTTGGAGGATGAGAAGTCCAAGATCAAGGCATGGACAGAAATGGTGTCTGCTGAGGGCTGCTCTCTGCTTGCAAGATTTTTTTTCACAGTATTTATCAGTATACCTAAACACACACACACACACACACACACACACACACACACACACACGGTACAATACATAGTGCATATTTCAGAAGTAGAGCTTTCAGTTTTGTCTAGACCTAAAAGAAAGTCCTAATGAAAGTGAGCAGTAGGTAAGATGGCCATAACAATCCCCCAATGGAGAGAAAAACAAATAGAAAGAACTTCCTTTTTTATTAATTTTTAAAAATTTCTATCAGTATATGTTTGGAATATATACTGTTTACAGTTCCTCCTCAGAGTCAGTACATGCACATAACACATTTTAATTCCTTTTTCATCCCCTTCTGCCTCTTGGCAGCACCAGCACCAGCATCAATATATCTGCTTTGTTCAATACAGTTGTGGCAACTACAACTAAAGAACTGAACTTTTGCTACGTTTGGTGGTGTATGCTACAGTCTCAGGTATTCAGGAGGCTGAGGCAAGAGGATCACTTGAGCCTGGTCTGGGGAACACAGCAAGACCTCATCTTGGAGAAAGAAAAGACAGAACAAAGGGAGGGAGGAAGGGAGGAAAAAAGGAAGGAAGGAAAGGCAGACTCACTTTAAATTTAACTTCATTTAAATTTATGATCTAATACTCAGTTTAGTTCTGATAGTGCTTCACTTAATGATAGGGACACATTATGAAAAAATGTTATATTAGGCAATTTTTTTTTTGGCTTTTTGAGACAAGGTCTCTAAATGTTACCCAGGCTGATCGTAAACTCATGGCAATCTTCCTGCCTTAGCCTCCCAAGTGCTGGGATTACAGGTGTGCATCACCATACCTGTAGGCAAATTTTGTCACAGAAACATGAAATGTACTCACACTATCTTAGATGGTGTAGCTTATTACACACTGTAGGCCATCAGTTCTGCCTATCTGATTAAGAAATTCCATGAACATATCTGTGATCCAAGCACTTGGGAGGCTGAGGAAGGAAGATCATTGAAAGTTCAAGGCCACCTGGGATACAAAGTAAGGCATTCTCTCAAAAAAGACAATTTTGCAAGCACAAGGACCTGAGTTAGATCCCTGGTACCAAAAAGAGTGTTTAAAACATCTCAATAATTTTCATATTGATTACATGTTTGTTTGTTTTTTGGTGCTGGGGATTGAACTTGGGACCTTGCACTTGCAGGGTAGGCAGCGCAACCACTGAGCTAAATCCTCGGCCCTGATTATATGTTAAAATGATACTTCAGGGCCAGGGATTTAGCTCAGCAGTGCTGGTGCTTGCCCTGCAAGCGCAAGGTCCTAAGTTTGATCTCTGGTACCTAAATAAACAAAATACTTCAGCTAAACCGAATTAAAGAAAATATAAAATAAAATGAATGTATTTGTTCTCGCTCTTTTTTTGTTTTTAGTAGGGATTTAGTAAGGATTGAACTCAGTGCCTTCACACTGAACAATAACCCCAGACCCTTTTGAGACATTCTCAGTGCATCACTAAGTTGCCCAGGCTGGGTCCTAGGCTTGCAATTCTCCTGACTTAGCCTCCCAGAGCATTGATAATACAGGTGTGTACCACCATACCCTGCTGGGGGCTGATCAGACCCTCAGATACCTATAAAGGGGATGATGAGGAATAAAGAAAAAGAGACAATATTTAAATTTCAAGGGGACTGGGAGGAACCTGCCTCTAGTGGACAGACTCAATAATCTCCATGATTTACCTGTTTTTATTAGCTAGCAAGAAGCATAGGGGAAGGGGTAGTGTACTTTTCCCAGAACAGTAACTACAGTAAGAATTGACAATAAAAAATGAGGAACAGGCAACCCATTTGGGACCCCTCTCGTCTCTCAGGAGCTATTCTTATTCTCCATTATTATAAATTATAAATAAAAAAATAAATAAATATATTTTATTTATTTATTTATTTATTTATTTATTTATTTTGGTACCGAGGATTGAACTCAGGACCTTGCACTTGTGAGGCAGGCAGTGGAACCACTGAGCCAAATCCCTGACCCATTATTCCCCAATCAATTTTCCTACTCTTTTTCTGGGGGGGTATACCAGGGATTGAACTCAGGATTTTGCACTTGCAAGGCAGGCAGTGGAACCATTGAGCTAAATCCCCAGCCCAAATTTTTCTACTCAACCTCCACTGTTCCTTAGAATTAACTCTTCAGTTTCGGGGAACATAAACTTGGCATATCTGGCATCTAACAGGTTGGGAGTTACGTCTATTCCCCTATATAAAAATAAACTTCTCTCTCTCTCTTTTTTTTTTGTACCTGGGATTGAACTTAGGACCTTGGGCTCATGAGGCAGGTGTAGCACCACTGAGCTAAATCCCCAGCCATAAATTTCTCTTCCTTTAATTTTTGGGTGTCGAGTTTTTTGGACCTTGCAGGTATTGATATTTTGAAATGGGAAAGTAAGACAGAAAATTTGTACCAGGAGTAGGTTCACTGCTGCGACTATATTGACCATGTGGTTCAGAAGTCTTTGAACTGGTTCATGAGAGGACTTCAGCCTGGTTGAACCTGTGGGGTTATCTTCATCTCACTTGGGAGACAGTGGCTGAAAAGAAGAATAGTATATTATTTAAGTTTCAATGGTAACTGAGAACTCAAATAATAATATATGATAAAGGATGATTGCTGGTCATGGTGGCACATGACTGTTCTCCCAGCAGTTGGGAGGCTGAAGCAGGAGGATCACCATGAGTTCAAGGCTGGCCTGCACTACATAGTGAGTTCAAAGCCATCCTGAACTACATAGTGAGACTCTGTCTCCAAATAAAACAAAACAATAAATAGAAAAGAATGGTGGTATCAGTGGCTTAAAATTTCCTTTATCACAGCAGAAAGCCAAGAGGTTATTTCTAGTTGATCAAGGAAAAAAATAGGGGCATAGTAGCTAGGCACAGTGGCACATGCCTGTAATTCTAGTACTCAGGAGACCGAGCCAGAAGGATCATGAGTTTGAGCAGGAGAACCACAAGTTAAAGCCAGCCTGGGGAAACTTAGTGATTTAGTGAGACCGGCTTAAAAAAAAACAACAAAACAGCAACCACCACAAAAGGCTGAGGATGTAGCTCTGTGTGAAGGTCCCATTACTGGGGCTGGGGGAAAGGGAGGATAAAAGAAATCATGGTATAAGATTATTATTTGGAGGCATAAAGATAGAACACTACAAGAAAATTCATGTTTAAAAGTGGTTGCCCCTGAGATGGGTGTGGTGGCACACACCTGTAATCCTTAGGAGGCTGAGGCAGAAGGATCACTTTGAGTTCATGGCCATCCTTGGCTACAAAGTGAGTCCATGGGCAGCCTGAACTACACTGTGAAATCCTGCCTCAAAAACAAAACAAAAAACCGCAACCCAAAAGTGGTTGCCCCTAAACTGTATATTTTATGTTTATATGTTTTTTTATTTTGGTTATATTTTACAATTGGAATTATGCTCATTTTGCAGTGCTAGAGATGAAACCCAGCGATTCCCATTTACTAGGTAAGTGCTTTACCACTAAGCTACAACACTAGTCCCTTACCACTGTTTGAAAAGTGATTGCCCCTTGAGGGAAGATGTAGAGGTAGGGAGACTCAACAAGAGGCTAGGGCAGGGGGTTGAAGTCTCTCACATAAGCTGTCTTCTATTTTAACAATTTACATCTAGGACTTTAATTCAAAAATCAAATAACAAAGTAATAAGTCATTGAGACTAGCTTATTCCTCTCCCCTGTCCCCTTGGTAGTGGGGATTGAACCCAAGACCTTCAGAATGAGCTACATCCATAAATCATTTTTTTATTTTTTATTTTGAGACAAGTTCTCATTAAGTCACTAAATTGCCCAGGATGAGCTCAAATTTGCAACCCTCCTGCTTTAGTTTACTAGACCGCTGAGATTATAGGCATGTGCCACCAGATCCAGCTTCCTCACCATCTTTATAACCTTTGCTGGACCTGTGAAAACACAGAGTTGAAAGCACAAAGTTCATTTTCTTTGCTACACAGATGAACAAAAAGACTTAATGACATAGCAAAGTTACAAAGAGCAATGGTGGAGAACTGGAGCCAGCTGGTAGCAGCAGGAGGTCCTTTCCAGTTCCCCATCCACTGTGCTGTGTCTCCAATATCAAATATCAACAAGACCCATGTGATTAAGAGAAAGTAGTCATTTCCTTTGGGCCAGTAAGAGCTTTCTTCTTCCTCTTCCTTTTTTTTTTTTTTTTTTGGCAGTACTACGGATTGAATGCAAGGCCTTCACACTGA